ATGGTGGCTTGGGCCATGGGCACAATAATGATAGTTGTAGTATGGGAATAGTTCAAAAGCAGAAGCAGTACAGTTTGCTGATGGATCAATGTAGGCTGCAGAAGAGTCAAGAATAACACAAGGTGTTTGGTCAAATAATCAATTGGAGGCGCAGAATTGGCATTAATCAAGAGGGAGAATATTGCTGGGGTCAAGGAGTTGGAGAAGAATATGAAGAACTCAGTTTTTGAACATATTAAAGTTGAGATGGAAGTGTTCAGATAGAGATGTGGAGTTGTTAGTTTGAGAGTTCCAGGCTTCGGATATGTATTTGTAAGTCATCAGCATATTTAAAGCCATGAAATGGACCAGCAGGAGTCATTGTGGATGGAGAAGTGTAATGATAGGAACTGGGGGTGTTCCACCATTAATAGGTTGAGGAGGTGAGGAGGAAGAAAGAAAAACAGAATTATAGCACTAATGAGAAAGGCAAAAGAGTGTTGGTGTTCTGGATCCAAGTGAAGAAAATGTTTCAAGGAGGGGAAAATAATAAACTATGTTAATTGTTTTCGATAGGTTAAGTAAGATGAGGACTGAGAATTGACAAAGGACTAGTAACTAGAATATATAAAGAACCCTCAGAAATCAACAGTGAAAAAAAGAAACAATCCAATTAAAATATGAATGTTATGGATTGAATTGTTTCCCCACCCCAAAGTTTATATGTTGAAGCTCTAACTCCAATGTAACTGTATTAAGTGGTAGGGTCTTTAAGGAGGTAATTCAAGTTAAATGAGGTCATAAAGGTGGGGCCCTAATTTGGTTGGACTGGTGTGCTTATATGAAGAGAAAGGGACACCAGAGAGTTCTCTCTTCCCACCTGTGCACAGAGGAAAGGCCATGTGAGAAGGTGGCCTTCTGCAAGCCAGAGATATAATGGATAAAAGACATGAAGAGAGATTTCACTAAAAGGCCACAAATGGCAATTAAACGCACAAAAAGATACTCAAAATCATTAGCTACTGGAAAATGTGTATCAAAACCACAATGAGATGTCACTGCATACCTTGCAAATGGCTGAAACAAAAGTAGTGACAGGAATTCAGCCAGGACATGAAGAAACCTGATCACTCACACATTGCTGGTGGGGATATAAATGATATAGCCATTCTGGAAAGGAGTCCGGCAGTTTCCTAAAAAGTAAAACGTTGCAACTCTCCATACGACTCAGGGACTGTATTCCTGGGCATTATCCCAGAGAACTGAGAACTTATATTCATATAAAAGCTTGTACCTGGGTGTTTATAGCAGCTTTGTTCGTAATTGCTGAAAACTAGAAAGAATCCAGATGTCTTTCAATAAGAGAATGGTCAAACTGATTTTCCATACATGGAATGCTGCTCAGCAATAAGAAGAAGTGAATTACTGACACACATAAACCTGTCTTATCTTCAGGGAGTAAATCTGAGTGAAAAATATGTTAATCTCAAGGGGCTACATACTGTATGCCTTTATTTATAGGACATTCTTCAGATGACCTCGGAGAACTGACTAGGGGTTGTCACAAGGTTACAGAAGGGGTGAGGCAGGAGAGAAGTGGGTGTGGCTATAAAAGAGAAGCATGAGGAATACTTGCAATGATGCACATGTCCTGCATCTTGACTGGTATCAGTGTCAACATTCTGGTTTCAATAGTGTGCTATGGTTTTGCAAGATGTTACCTTTGGAGAAAACCAGCTAAAGGGTACACAGAATCTTTCTGTATTATTTCTTACAACTACATGAGAATCTAGAGTTATGTCAAAATAAAAATTCTAATGAAAGAAAGTATATTTCTGGCTTTTACAAATGATTCTTACACATTCTAGAAAGATCCGTTTGACTAGTAAATTATCCCTTGCTTTGGAGTTTCTATATTTTACTTCATTTTATTTACTTTAAAGAATGGTAGTGTTACCAGACTTACCGAGTTTTATACATTAAATATGCACAGCTCTTTACATGTCAATCATACCTCAATAAAGAAAGAAAGAAAGGTAGGGTTAGCATGTCATATGCATTCTGCTTTTAAAAGTAAAACACAGCGCCTTAAAAAATAACAGCTTTTTCAAATATTGTCCTTTTTTAAAAACAGCTTTATTGTGATATAACTTATATACCATACAATTCATGTATGTAAAATGAACTACTTAATGGCTTATAGTATATTTATAGCATTGTATAATCATTACCACGATCAATTTAAGAACATTTTTGTCACGCAAAGAGAGCTCTCCACCCGTTAGTGCCTATCATTCTCCAATTGCCTTTCTCCCCAGTCCTAGAAAACCACTAATCTACTTTTTGTCTCTATAACTGTTATTTTAAAAGGATAATCTATTCATGATATAAATAAAAGCTTAGCAGAAGGAATATTTTTTAAAGTACTTCTAATCTTGGCATTTTACCTAGCTAATTTTCCTAAATGAGCTCTTTTTACTTTGTGTATGGAATTAAATCCTTCGTACCTCTTCTTCTTCTACGGATCCCATTATCCCTTACTTTTTTTTTTTTTTTAAAGATAAAAGGTGGAATTCCTGAAGGAATCTTTCCAAATTTTTAGTACCCTATACTGAATTGAATTGAAAATATATTAATTATTAATTACTTAAAATTATTTACTATTACTAGTGAATCACATAGAATAACACATCATGATTTGTTTTTGTTGGGCTAATAAAAGGGGTCTAACTCTCCTGACGAATCCAGCAAGTGATTGCATTCAAAGTTGCTAATGGGGCAGCTTAAGGATTTTTAAGCCACTTTAGCCAGAAACTCTTTCTTCAAAAGACCTGCAGCTTCCTGCTGGTGCCCACCTGCTGGGCTCTGCTCTGCCGCCCTCCCTCTCCCCTCCTTTCTCTGAGGCAGTTCACATTCTCCTGGGTGCTTCCTAATAGCACAGTCTGTGAAGAGCTGAGGTATCATATGCCATAAACATTATTCGATCATGGAAGTATTGGCCTTTGCTTTCTTTATAATTGTTTTGAATTAGCAGCAATTTCTTGCTCCAATAAAATGTTCTCTATTTTTTACCTATTGTGAATCTGCACAATAAGGTTTGCTAACTAGACAAAATAGGCACGATTATGTGTGTGAGAATGTTTGAGCTACCTAAGGTAATAAATTGTTTTCATTGCTGTAAAAGCATTCATTGTAAAGATAGCAGCAGTTCAAAGAGTTGTTCCTTTGTTTCAACCAGTTCCCTGAAGCCTTCGATAGGATGCTTTATTGGGTTAGTTGTGATATATAAATGAAACATCTGAAGTATTATGTTTTATAATGATATTATCTAATTTAGACCTTTAAGGAATTCTGAGTGTTCTTTTAAATCTGACCAAATGAATAAGATTCAATAATATTCCATAATTTAGAGTTACAACTTTAATTTTCATGTATATCACATTCAACAGAAAGGCATTTAATCCCTTTTAAAAATGGGACAGGTAAGAGCTTTTAAGAACACAAATGTGTTGTTATACCTGACTTGGTATTTTGCATTTTCTTGCGTTCTTTCCTAGAGATCCAAATGTCTCATCATAGAAATAATTGTAAAATGGAAATAAGGACTAGGCTTGGCAAACTCAGATAATAGGCAGTTTCATTTGGCTTTAGGGGGAAAAAAAAGCCCTCAAAGTATATTCTCAGCTGAATAAATTCAACTCTAAAATTGTTCACAGATGAGCTGAGAATTGACTTTTGAATGAGGTCCCTAAGAAAAACAGAAAAAGTAAAATAGACACAACCACTGCTTGTTCGGTCCGGAATTTATACAAAATAAATTAAAATCTAAGGAACAGATAGAAGCTGAGTCGAGTCTGTGATTTTTTAACTCTAGGTATCTGTTCCCTGCAAACATAATGAGCCATTGTTTTGAAATTACTGTTTTCTAACTTCAGCGGATCAATACGTCTTCGAGAAAGGTAGTTTAGGTAGAATTTTATCCAATGTTGTGAGTGTGTATGGAGGCAGTTGCTTCAAACTCAAGATACATGTTCATTGTTGATGTGTCGAGAACTTGCTGGTGGTAGCAGCAATACATAGTTGGTTTCTCTGATGGTGTTTCTCATCAACCACACATAGCCACTTGGATCTCACTCCTGCCACCTCGTGCCACTGCATTTATATTTTATTTCCCAAACGGTCAGCTATAGGAGCCCCACGGTATTTTTCCAAAAGGAAAGTTGTCGATACAGCACCAGCAAAATGAATGGGAAAAGTGAAGATAAGAAGTTGCCTGTGGACAGAAATCATAATTAAATTATACTCCACATAAGTTTTTCTCAGATCTCTTAATTTATACCCCAGCCTTTTACCCATTTTTCTCCTTATATTGAACATTTTTCAACTTTTTCAGAGTCCTTTCCTGCTGTTTATCTACTTCACTATTACATGCGAAGTAGAAGGTAATTTTGAATGAGAAGAGCATTTTCATGAGGAGATCAGCATAGCACAGACTAGGTAGTGTCTTGATCTTTAATTAGTTGAGAATATTTCGAATGCCAGTCTCAGTTTAGAAAATCGCAAAGCCCATTAATGAAAACAGTTAGTTGAGGGTGTAACTCTTTGCAGTGTGTGTGTTAGAAGTGTCAGAACAAAAAAATGCTTTGAGCTTCTTTAGATTTTTTGTTATTCAAAGGAATGTAGGTGTTTCAATTTTCAAGTTATACAAAAAATTCAGTCTATTAATCAATAGTTGGCAGATTCTTATATCACTTAGGGCAGAGGGTGGTGTTTAGGGTGAGGCTGATTTTCTTATATAAAATATAACATTCAGACCATTTCTGCAGTGTTCATTTCTCTCCTATGTTGGAAGGAATCCAGGATTGCAATCCTTGGGCTCCCATCCTGTGTACTATATAGTTAATAGAAAAAAGAAAAGCAGGTTTGTATAAATGCTAAAAATAGAAAATGTAATTATGCCATTCATTTTATTTTATGAATTTTTCTTTTTGATTTTTTCCTTTTTTTTTTTTTTTAAACAGGGTCATTTTGGAATTCAGCTTCCTTCAATACTGAGGCTTCATACCTTCATTTTCCTACTTTCCATGGAGAACTTAGTGCAGATGTGTCTTTCTTTTTTAAGACAACAGCTTCATCTGGGGTATTTTTAGAGAACCTGGGGATTACCGATTTTATAAGGATAGAGCTACGCTGTGAGTCTCCTTTTCCTTAGAAGCTTGTGGGATTCTATTTAATAGTAAATCCTTTAACTAATTGTCAAACTACTGTGTTTCTACTTTATCAGCTAAATCTTTTCACTGTGTCCTTTTGAAAAAAAATCTATGATATTAAGTTAGTCTTTCTGCTAGAAAATAATTTAATATATAATGCAATAATTTGGGAAAATAATTAGTATTCTGTAGAACCAATTGAATTAGGGTTTTAAATCCAAATAATTAAAACTTTTTAAAAACTCAATTCTCAGGTAATTACAAAATTACTTAATTAAATCGACCAGCCATTTAATTTTGTATGCCATATAATTTTGGTATACTCTTAGGCCACTATTAGTATCTTATTATCAAATGTATATTATGTGCTTTTAAAATTAGATAAACTTTGAATCATTGTAAAAATTTTTACATAAAATGCCAGATGCTATATAGTTTTCTTGTTCTGGCTTAATAGCTTTGCTCTATCGATATGCAAAATTAACTCTGAGGATGAGTTTCTTAAAATCTGGGGTTTTTTTCCAAATGGATTTTCTGTTCTCATTCCACGTCTCTTCTTGACTGATGTCATCGGTTCCTTCCATAAGATTTAAGCCGTTACCTTTATATTTCATGATTGCCATGCCATGGTGCTATTCCTAAGTGTGTTGAGGACTCCTCTGTCCACCACAGGGACTAACTGGAACAATCTTCCTATCTCCTATTTCCAGCTCCAGCAGTAGTGACCTTTTCATTTGATGTGGGGAATGGGCCTTTTGAAATCTCGGTGCTGTCACCCACTCATTTCAACGATAACCAGTGGCACCACGTCAGGGTGGAAAGGAACATGAAAGAGGCATCTCTTCAAGTGGATCAGCTCTTACCGAAGACACAGCCTGCTCCCACTGATGGGCACATCCTTTTACAGCTCAACAGTCAGCTCTTCGTGGGTAAGTTCTGTTGGGAGGTAGTTTGTCATTGAACTCTATGACCTAAGTGTAGAGGTGGGCCAAAATGAAATAACACCAACTGGTAACCACAACAAGCCACTGTTTATTGAGAACCTATGTTCTAGGCGTGCCAGGTGTTTTATTTTTCCCTCATAACCAATCTGTGAAATGGGTTAACCCCATTTTACTGATGAACTAACTGAGGCACAAGGGATTGAAATACCTTGCTTTCAGAAATCTACCTAGTAAATGAGATTTGAATTTGTGTTTGATTCATTCCTAAACCTGGATTCTTAATATTACAGATTATGTAATTGGTTCCAGTTGGGGTTGTTTTGGTTTTGGTTTTGTTTTATTTCTTACATTAGTGCTTTTAGTGTTTTGTTGGGGGTTGTTTATCTCTGTTCTCAGGGGATTTAAGGAACCCTCCGTGTAGTTCCGCCTGATGCCAGACAGGGACCCCTGTCAAAGAACAGGCCAATAGAGGAAAAAAAGAAAAGCAGGAGCAAAATGTATAAATCATCAGTTCTTCTGCTGGTGTCTCTCATTTTGCCCACTTTTCGGATACCTTCTGATCACCTACCTCATGCTTATATCCAGATATTCCTTTCTTGCCTAAATACATTCCCTTGGTATGTGTAGACTTGATAGTGGAATCCTTCTGGAAGTGTTTGTTTTATTTTCAATCTTTGCTAATTACTTTATAGAACTCATCGACCATTAAGTTCAGGAATTATTTCTTACTTGATCACTTCTCATATATTTTAATGTAAATAAGGGCACAACAACCCTATAAAGCAGAATAAATTATAAATGATCAGAAATTATGTTTCAAGCATTTTTAAGAGTTATGTTTTAGAACAAAATTCAACAGATTCCCGTTACATCTTTTATTGCTTAATAGTCTTGTTTTATTACCCTCACTGCAAAAGATAAGCCAATTTGTGACTTATTTGACTAAGAGACATTTGGGATTTCTAGTGAATTTATATACTCCTTATTCTATCATTAATTCTTTCATTCAATAAACAGTTAATGAGCAGCCTCTATGAGTAGGGCACTGTAATAGACAATCTAATCATGATCTTGCAGCCACTCAACTGACTTATTTAAGGGTATGGAAATAGTAAGGAATACTTGGAATACATAACTTTTCTTTTAGTAACATGCTAGAAACTCAGTCAGGAAACTGACGTAGATATTTCTTGATATACAAAAACTGAGAGATGGCTGCAACCAAAGGTATGGCAATTTAAAATCTGTCAGTATCTTGGAAATAGCCTTACTATTCTTGGAAATTGAGGAGGCTGAAACAGTCCTCGAATTTTTTCAGTGAAATCTGTTGCAGTTCGCCTGAACATGAACTTTCATCCTTTGTGTGAATTTTAACTTCATAGAAATGAAGTCACTATATAGTGTGTGTGATAGGAATCCTGGCCTTAATTTGATTTCAGGTAGTTGTAATGGTTAGAAGTACTGTTATTATATCAGAAGACTGTGTTGGAACAGACTTGAGTCTTTTGCCATCAATCATGTGTTACAATTTTAATAAATATACCTAACAGATTTCATCTTTATGGTGGCAATTGGTTAGGCTTTTGATATTCCCATATGTGTTCAAATCCAAGGACTGCCTGTGTGAACGTTTTATAAACCAAAGTCATTACTATGTTTAAGTCAAGTCACTGACAACTAAAAAGAAAAGCAGAAAGATCTCTGAAAAAATTGTTACATCCACTATTAATAAAAATCTGTTTATATAATTCCCTTCTTTTTACTCATAGGTAACCAAGAAAATTGACAAGGTTACTGTGATGACATTGAAAGAAGGACTCCTGTTTTTTAAAAGGCTTAGGGAGAGGCACATCAGGGTCTTCTTTTTATCTTTACCTCTACCACATGAGTGGACCCCTGTCGTGCGAAAGGGCCCCAACCAAATTAATAAAAACTATACTTACACAACAAAATATTAATTTCTCAGTTTGTAACATTACTTTCACACAAATCAGAATATTTTTTGAATTTCTAGATGAAAATACTTCAGTGGGGGTTAAATTATAATTTAAAAGGTTATACCAAATTAGTGCAAAGTGGGTAAAAAACTAGTAAAAAATCAGAAAAAATTAGAACTAACTTAATATAACACTTACTAAGACCAAAAAGTAGCTCTCTGCATTCCTGGTAGTATGTTTCAGTGGGAGACAAGAGGCAACCAATAAAAGAGTAAGTAGTAAGACAAAATAGATATTATTTATAATATATTTATTAATATCACACATTTTGTACATGCACGCACACACATATATTTGTGTGTCTGTGTGTGTGCATACAGCTTCAGATAATGATAAATAATATAAAATGTCAGGAAATGACTTGGGTTGGGGGGCTTCTACTTGAAGTAGGGTGGTCAGGGGAGTGTCCTCTGAGGACCTTACCTTTGAAGAGAGGCCAGAGAAAGTAGAAGAGGGAACCTGTGAACATCTGAAGGGAGAGAATTACTGGCAGAGGGACCATGCTTGACGTGAAGAGGAGGAGCTTTAGGAGTCAGGGAGCAAGGAGGAAGCCATTATGGCCGGAGGGGAGAGTCAGTCTGAGGGAAAGCGTGGTGTCAATCGTGGTCAAGTTATATGCTGGGTCTTGTGAGACAGTGTCGAAGAATTTGGACTTGTGGTCCCTGTGGGAGTTAGTGGTGGCAGGGGCTGGAGAGGAGATGGTGAAAACCAGTGGTGGGCCATACTTTAAGTGTAGACATATACAACTTGTGCTGGATGGGTTGTTGCTGTTAGTATGTTACTTCTTAGCCCTGCTAATCTTCTTGGGGACAAGACACTTTGTAGGTGTCTGGGATCCTCGCATCATTTCTCAGTTTTCAATTTCAACTGAAGTTCGTGTTTCTTGTTTTCTTCCTTTATCATAATTTGTAAGATGATTCAAGCTGTTCCCTGACCCTTCAGTCTGGATTATATATACTATAAGCCCTAAAAACCATAGTCCTGCCAGGCTGCAAAAGACTGCTGGTCCTTCTTCACAGCCCAGAGAAAATATTCCCCTTCCTCCCTTTTCTTCAGTGAGATTCCACCCATCCCACAATCACACATTCCCAGGAAATTGGGCTTCTTTGTTCATATGTTCTGTGCCAGCACACAGTCAAATATTGAAGGGACCCTGTCTTGGACACTGTTTCCCCATGTATGAATACCTTACAATATTCTAGAGTTAAGTCTGTTCTCCGAGCCATGCATGACTCTGTGGATGACTGGGAGTCTCTGCTCTGATTCAACAGAATTGATCTTCTGGTTCAGATTTTAAAGGGTAATTTCATTCCCCTTACTTGCAAGTTCAAGAGTTTAATTTGTAGTTCACCCATCCATCTTAAAAATAATTATGGCTAATCAGTATTTTTAAGTATGCATAATGACTGTCATTCGTTTTAGGGTATCAGGATATATTAATGAGATAAATGTAACTGTAAAGAATAAGTCTATAGTATAACTTCTACTCCTAAAAAAATGTTTGAGTCCAGACGATGATGATGATAGTTTTAAGTTACATAGAAACAGAATCTTTATAAACACGGGACAAAACTATAAGACTAATGTTGGTCTAAGATAATGTTAGTATCTCAGCATTTAGTAGCTTTTACCAAAAATGTACCTTCTTGTTTGTAAACAAATTTGGCAGAAAACATTAACACTATTGTGGAATATTTCAAATACCAAATAAAGTTACTTTATAATACTACAAATATGAAACATAAGAGATTTCGATAATATAGAACTGTTTGTTTGCGATATATCTGTAACACTTTTACCTACAAGTAAAATGTTGTGGCTATTTGAATATATATTCATTTTGATTTCAGTTATATTCTCTACCTCACTGTGCTACCACACAACCAGGCCTATGTTGATATTTATTGACATTACATTTTTTTTTTGAGCTTAAGGATTTTGGTGGTCTCTCAGAAGTGACTAGTGGAATGGGATAACCTGAAAGCATCTAATATGTTTTCTCAATTGCTGGCTTCAGTCTCTCCCTTAAAAATCAGTTGTAAAGTGTGTCCACATCTCAGAGTGAAACTCTGAGGCAAGACTGATGCTTTACCTTCTGAGCAAAATCAGTAAAAATAAATAGAAAGCATGATTAAAAACGTGATTTAGCTGAGCAACAATGATACATGATGATTGAAATAGAAAGAAGGAAATGAGAGTTTCAGAGGTGGACTAGTGTTCGTCTACACCAAAGAATTATAAAACAGAACAATCCCTGTACTTCCAAATATTGGAACAATTGTCTTCTGTTCATCTAAACTGTAGGATGCCATGCAACTTGAAGGAGTAATAAAATAATGAACATAAAACCACTTGTATGAACAAGTGAAAACAGTTGACAGGAATGTAATTAGAAACAGTAAACACCAATGCAGTGACCATCTCCTCCCCTTCCCCAAATATCCCAACCATCACATTGCTTTTCGTAATAAAAATGATGATTCACCTTCTAGTTGTTGCCCATCTTTCTCCATTCTTGTTCTTAATTATGGCACTGGGTCTTTCCCGACCTTTTCACATTCTTTCACTTTCCCCTTTCTGTATGTGTGTAATTTATGACCTGAGTTGAACAGTTCTATTCAGAGGTGCTATTTATACTTTAAAAAATAAGTTTAGTGGCATGATGTTAATTGGTGTATTAAACATATGCCCTTGACCCTGTTACACCGAGGACTCAATGTCAAGAGTCACTGCTGTTATCATTCCCCCGCAAACATTCTCCAACCATGGAAATGATGGAGAGAAAAGAAGCAATCATTTTTTTAAGCTGAAATGTGATAGTGGTCATTTTCTATTTTGGTTTGTAAACTCAGCATTTTTCTTAGAAGTTTCTTAAATTAGCCTTGAATTGATTTTCATTCAACCAACTCTGCAATTTTTGTTTGCAATCTAAATTCTTTTACTGACAGGTTTTTAAATGGGGCAAACTCCATCTCAATACTTTGTGAC